GAATAGTTATAGAAAATCATTATAGCCTTGTTATTTGTTTTACTTTAATGGGAATAAAACATCTTGTATTATTGATGTAAGGTATAGTATAACCTTTTAATTTTATTATTTAAACTTTAAAGCTTTTAGAAATGAACAGTTCATATCATATCATCGTATTTACCTTAGAAGAATATTCCTATCAAAACCAGTTTTTTGTATTAAAAAAATTATAAAGGGTCATTATTCTACAGGGTCATTTTTCTAAATCAACACAGAGAAAAATGACCCCAAGGCCATAATTTCTACAAGAAAAGTGGGTCATTTTTCTACGGAGAATATTGGCCAGGGTGTCAAAATTTCTACGTTGAAAAATGACCCCGGTCATTATTCTACGGGGGTCATTTTCGTCGTTAAATCGGCTCTGAAGATCATACGTTTTTCTGAATTGAATTTCTAATTGTCACAGAAATTATTAGTAAATGAATGACAGACAGTATCTATTCTTTAAACTTACAATATGAATAAAATGTGATTCAAATGAAATCCATTGTGAAAGTTAAGGTATTTTAAACATAAAAGAGGGGAATGTATTGCTAGACTAAATAAAAAAAAAAAACTTCTTTTCATTGAAAGTACTTTGGGCATCTAAGATTTTATATTATTTACTATCGATCATAAAAGTTATGAGGACAATGGAGTTATTGTTTGAAATCGTGTGACAGTTTTATCTGGTCGACTTCAGTGGTAAAGGGATGTGGGTCCGAATTCTTAATTCATTGCCAAGACCTTAGAAAATAAAGAAGCTACAAATACGATCCATTAGGTTGCTTTGAGTAGGTGTTATTAATTGAAAACAAACTTTTGAGAAGTTTCCTTTTCAGATCTGTAAAACAATTCTTTATAAAGATTACCAAAAAATACATAGCCATCCAGCAAGGCACGCAAGTTTGTTTCGGTCGAAGTCGAGCAGGTGCTTGAAAATCAAGTCTAGGACCTAATCACTCCCCACTCAAATACAGTATATAGAAAAATCAGCACGCCCTAAATTATAATGAATCTAGTCAATACAGGAAGTTTACATATTGTTTTTATCTCAAATAAAAATTCAGCTCCAGTCTCGTGTTAAAATGTCCGAATCGGAAGGGAAGATTCGGGAATTATTTTGCGTCAGCCATGATATGACGTGAAACTAAAGTGAAATACTGTTAGGACACCATCTGTATTTAACTGCCTCTTAACAGCGTTTTATACATCTGTTGATCGCTAAAAACCCCCTCCTATTTTTCTCCATCATTGTACTAAATTGTGTGTGTGTGTAAGGGTGTGTGAGGGTGTGTGTGTGTGTGTGAGGGTGTGTGTGTGTGTGTGTTCTTTATTGCTTTATGCATATATTTTTGTTTTGCTTTTAATGTCATTGAATTTCAGACCCAGCCCGGAAAGACATTTTTGATCTGAACAGTTTACACAATAGGAAACAGAAGGATTTTTCTATGTAGACAATTAATTAGACATAGTCAAATCTGACACAAACTCTACTCATGGCCTAGACACGTTACCGAATTAATATTCTTCCGAAAATGATGATTTAAAAATTGTATGCATTTTTTTTTCAAAATCATACCCAAATGTTGTCAACGGTGTTAAAATTGATATTTCAAAACCTAAATATACATCTGCATTACAGTTAATATTAGCTCGCAAAAAGGGTTTTAGTTACTTTAAAAGAGTTGAAAATCATATGAGAAATTCTTACAGATATAGATTGGATGAAAATAATAATCTGAATTTTCTATTGAGAGCACATGTATAAAGATTTAGATGAAAATGTGAAAACGAAAATAAAAAGAATAGAATTCTGGCACTGAAATGAATCCATAGAGTAGAGTTCAATGAATATAGGTCTTCATGTACGGCATTACGCATACATTAAATTAGGCATTGTCCATGATAATTACTTTTAAATATTTTTTCCCTTGACATTTTCAAGACTGAACGCTAATGTGGTCCTCGTCAAAATTTCTTCTGTGCTCCTCTATCATTTCATTAAAAAAGGCTCCCATAGCATTAGAATCTTCTTCAATTGAGTCGATGTTAAATATTCCAATATGGCGTAAAGAGGGAAAAATAAAGACTGGTGATGACGTAGTGACGCTGCTTAACGAACTTGACAGCAAATAAATTAAATGCTTGAATCTTCCATCTTCATAATCAAACCTTTTACCAAATAAAGGCGAACAAATAACGTTTGCCACGGATGCATTCAGTACGCTATGAATATCAAAAGCCTCGTTTCCGTATTTTTCCATCGGACAGTCTACTTCTTCCATAATTTGGCTTTCCGATCAACGTCTTCCGAATCCAAAGTTACGCAATGTCATCAGTGAAAAAGTTCTCATTTTTTTCCATAACAAGTCTGAATTAGAGGTTAAATATTACAGGACATTTCATAATGATTCTTTCCATCACAAGGTATTTTGGATTAAATAAGAAAAAAATCATTGCATTGAACAGACTTTAGACCATCTATTTCTTGTAGTATTGATAAAAAGGCTTCAATTGTATGTAACCTTTTGTAATTCTATTCCAAACCAGAAAAGCAAACCACTTACACAACCATCTTGATTTTATATTACTCATATCTATTTCAAGTTTTAAAATGGCATACGTTATGGTTGTTCTCATTGCACCATCAAGACGGGTTTTCAAATGTTGTATAAGCTCTTTAAAAAAAAAAGAAAAAAGAAAAAGGCCTCCCTATCCACTACAATAATCCAACTTTTTCATGCACTGATAAACGTGTACATGATAAATTACCTGTGAATATAGTGTTGATTTCAATTGATCTTTGTTTTTGTTCCAGAAGGTAAACATTGATGAAATCATTACCTGAATCTATTAAATGCTTTGTTTTTGCTCCGACAGGGCCCAGGGTGTGTTTAGGAGAGGCACTCGCCAAAATGGAGCTATTCCTTTTTTTCACCAGATTTCTACAGAAGTTTGAGATAAAGCCAGAGGATCCCGAGTGTTTTGCCTTTTCTGGAGGGAAACTACGGGACAACTAACACGCCTCTAACCCTTAATATGAGACTTTTAAAACGTTAACCTGCAGTAGTCTGTGAATTTTAGCATACATTTATGTAATACTGTCCAATTTAGTTGTCAAAAACTACAAAAAAAATTATCTTCACTTTTTATCAAAAAATTCTAGTAGCTGATGCTAATTTTGAAAGTTTTTTCCGAGAATTTATAAAGGATTTTGTTGTTCGTGATTTTCATGGCTGTTTGCTAAAGGCTGGAGAGGTGGCGTCGTCAGGTTCCCTGAACCTTCATCTTTGGTGTTTATGTTTTGTAGAATACAATACTAATTATTTATTTCAAATAAATATATTGTAAATATCAATAGTAAACCAAAACGATGTGCTTTTATATATAAACATGTATTAGGCTATAATGTAGAAAATCTATACCTCTGTTTTATACACAAAAGTTAATATTTTCCAGTATATTTACAATTATTGGCACATAAACTTTACTCATATTGCACCTTACTACAGTGCATGTAGTTTCTTTATAATTATTCAATCTCTATTTAAAACTTTTGGTCAAGGTTATAAACACAAAATTACTCGGACATAACATAAGGTGAAATCATTGAAAACAGCTTTCTTAAAATCTTTTAAAAAATAGCATTCAATCTATTCTCCCTTAACCACAAAAAAATTTATATTTCGTCAGGCAACATCTCATTCATTGACTTACTCCAATGTTTGTATGTTTGCTTATAACGTACAACATGTACAATTGGTTATCCAACTTATACCCAGAGCTCCCTTTCTAAGGAGGAAATTCTTCAAAATCATGTCAGTTTTTGAATATTTTTAATACTCCCAACAATCAAAATGAATTTGAATTATTGGATTCCGAAACTTCATAAAAATCCTTACAAACAAAGATACATAGCGGGTTCCAGTAAATGTTCTACCAAGCCTCTTTCTTCACTCCTCACTAAGATATTAACAGTAGTGAAGGAGAAACTTCAAGAGTAATGTGCAACAATATATTCGAGGAGTGGTGTAAATCAGATGTGGATACTTAAAAATTCCAAGGAACTTTTGGAAAAATTTGAAATCACAAGATTTTACCAAAATCAACAGATTAAAAACTTACGACTTCTTTACTTTATACACAACCATTCCCCACGATAAATTAAAGTCCAGGCTTTTTGATCTCATTGACAGCTTCTTTTCAATAAAAATGGAACTCGTAAATTTACTTACCTCGTCATAAGACATTGGTCATTTGTAAAATTATTTTTTTCCACAGATCTTCAAAAAATATTGATTTTTTAAAATGTCACAAATAGGTGTTGCACTCCTGACATTTTTAGCACCATTTTTGGACATAACTTTTTTGTGAATTGAGATATCAATGAGATATTTGGCAGGTATTTAGACACTATGTAAAGACATATGCTGAGACATAAAAACTATTCCCATTGCCTGTATTTTTAGCGCAGGTTGATAAATATGTGTTTGGTCATTTTTTTTTATAATTCACCCACATGGCTTAAACATTAATGATTCATTAGCAATATGTTGAGATAAGAATCAAATGTCAAAACATTTTGACGAGATTAAAGAAGAAAATGTTAATCAATAAATGGTCACCGAAGAACATATGGAAGTCATCTTAGAAAGAAAAAAAATAGTACCTAGTACGTCGAAATGAGGTTGTGTACTAACAAACCATGTGTTACTCACATGCATGTGTTAGTACTTGCTAAGTACTATAGATTATATCAAAAATTCAAATATTTTTGCCTACTTTCTTTACATATCACAGTTATCAATAAATTAAGGATTCCTGCTCCGAAAAATATTGTTGGTTACGAGATCTTTTCTAACTTGACATATTAAATTACTAAATTATGCATTGCACATGCGCATTATTGAAAAATTTAAAAAGGAAAATAGAAGACAAAAAAGCGAACGTTTTTTTATCCACATTTGAGAATGTAGGAGATCTAGATCATGAATTTATTGTGGTGTTTGTGTTTGTTAATTGTGATTGTTTATGCGGAGAATGCAGACGGTACGTAATTATTTACCTTTACTGGAATATGCACGTCTCTTTACCTGTGTTTTGGAACATGAAGGTTATGCACTCTCTATGTGTAAATAGAAATGAATGTACTGTTATATTTTTAAAAAGGATACGTAAATTCATATTCATAAGTAGGATATTAGAACATATACAAAGCCTTTCATATGTGCTGTTAAATGCAGATAATTTCTGCATTTATTAAAAGAGAACAAGCCAAAAATGGAACAATTAAAGAGAATTTTAAAACGAAGCAAATAGTTCCTCGTTTTCAGCAAATTTATCGATCGACGTTTACACGTCTATTTAAAAAAAAGAAAACTAAATGCAGAAGTCCTTCAATGCAGCTGCTGTCGTTTGTTTTGCATTGATTGGGTTTGTCGACGATCTAGATACCAAATACTTCTGATGCCTTAATAATGAACCCTACCCCTTAGTGCAAACAAATGACGTCGCCCTCGTGGCGCAGTGGTTAGAGCGTCTGCTTTAGAGTCGCGAAGTAAGGAGTTGATCCTTACGTCGCGGGTTCGAATCCCACTGTGGGACGTGGAGACCGGTCCTTCGGATGAGACCGTATAAACCGAGGTCCCGTGTCGCAGTAGGTGCTGGCACGAAAAAGATCCCTCACTGCTCAATGGCCGTAAGTGCCGAGTATAGGACAAAATTTGCAGCTCTCCACCGGCAAGTGGTGGCGTCTCCATATAAGTGAAAAATTCTCGAGAGGGACGTTAAACAACATACAAACAAACAAACAAATGGCAAATAGAAATTACGATTAAACTATATGGCAAATAATCTAAGAATCTGAAGAATCCACAAATGGATTCTCAATCAAAACTTTTGTTTTTATGTTTCTTTTTATTCCATTACTGGTGTTTCAAGCTCAGACACTTGTTTCTGTAATAAATTTTTTAACCAATAGAATAAAAATAACATAAGGTATCTAACTCCGAATTACATGTACATGGAGTACCCTTCTCTCCATATTCGTAGGCAATTACACTTTCAGAGTAAAAGAACTGGCAAACTGTTTATCACTATTGTCTTCCAAGATAATTTATCTACACAACCATATATGACATACTTTTCTTTATTTTCTTTTATTTCTGTAAACAGTGTCAAAACTCTGCTCGTTGAGTGGAAAAGTCGACTCACACCATGACAAGGTGTGTACTAATCTCAGACAGAGAGCAAATTAAAAATGACTGGGTCTAAAAATTCAATTCCAATGTTTAAATACTGCAGTGAATAAACAAAATTTGATTACGTTTTATTTTCCATAAAACTTTAAAATATTTATCCGATGTAATTTAAAAAAAAATTACCCAAGCAAAACCCAAGAACATATTCCGCAAGAGATTAGTATACCACTTCATGATGTGAGACGAATATTCCAGTCGGCGATCAGAGTTTTAATGCTATTTATTTTAAAAGAAAATAAAGACAAGCATGTCATATATGGTAGTACAGATACATTATCGTAGAAGACAATGGTAATAAACAGTTTGCCACTCTAAGGTGTAAATGACTAAAATTCTGGGGAGGGGGGTACTCCATGTAATTCGAAGTTAGACACCTTGTGTAATTTTTATACTATGGGTTCAAAATTTATTACAGAAACAAGTGCCTGTGGTTTCAAGCAAGGGATGTTTAAGGCTGACTATACGGAACACAATTCAAAGAGATGTCGGTTGTATGCATAAATATTGAAGACCCTAGGAAATCAATAAATATATATTTGCAGAAGATATAAGCTGCTTTATGTACGCTTAATTGATATAGAATGAAACATATTATGAAATATTTTACAAGCTTGACAAATATAGGGCTACAAAATGTATTTTTTAACATTCAAAATATAAAAAAAAATGTTTTAAATAAGCTTTTTTATTCATTTATCTTATTTTGGTTTGTAAGATCAAAAAAATTACTCTCATTTGTAAAAAAAAATATATTGGATGCTCTTCGATCAGAATTGGTAAAATATAATTATCATTAACAGATACTGCAGACCCCTGCACTACGGCTTATGTTTTGGATAAGATGGACTTCCGGCTTAAAGAGAATGTTGCTTATAACGCTTCCATGACCTTGTGCGATAGATATCGATTGGGCAAGGGGAGGTGGGTGAGGGCGGACGGTCAAGACTTACTCCAGACAGAGCCGAGGCCAGAGGAAACGTGTGGAACCCGCTACGCTATCTGGATGAGAGGTTGGAAATGTTTCTGTCAGATGCACAATTTTTTGACCTTTCTGCCTAATATAGATTATTTGTTTTTAACAAGCATTTTGAATCCCCTATCAAATGGTAAAAAAAAATTAACACCACTTCTTAATTCAAGATGTTGCAATGATTCATGTGATCCGTAAAATGTTTATCAAATATTTGCCAAATGTGAATACGTGTAAGTATATCCACGAAATCTCAAGTCATGTATCATTGAGTTTTAGGTCACTGGAAGGAAAGCAATCAGAATGTTCAGCAATTATCTCTATTTATTCTTGATTTTGTTTCAAAAATTTATTTGATTGCATAAATGTATTTTCATTTAGAAATAAATATATGAGGGAAATGAATTTAAAAAAATTGAAAAGATTACCATAGCCAGTAAAGTTCTCAAAAGGTTATCATTATTTTCCTGTGGTTGTCCATTTCTCGTCTGTCTGTCTCTGCAAAAGTTCTGACTGTGTTTTAGAAATATTTCAATAAATTAAGGGGGAAAGTGATCCTAAGGCAAAGAAGAATTATCCTGTCGACCGGTCACACCTGCAGTGTACCCTCATCATGATAGGGTAAAAATTCGTAGACAATTCAGTATGAAAATAATGGCCTATAAAGAAGATGGGCGTATTTGGAGTGTGATCTGCAGGAATCATGTGTACGAAACATTTATAGTTTAACTGTCCACGATTTGGTTGGATGACCACAGCTGGACAGGCTTTACAAAGTTACGCACAAAGGAAAATGTCATACTCAGTTTGAAATAACATGTCAAATTGTAATATTTAGGTCTGCTTATCTTAATAATCAAACTTTAACATAGTAATGCTTTACATAAATAATAAACGCCTACAAGATGATAAGGGTATAGTTAAATGCAATTACAAGTACATGTGTATATTAAACTGTTAAAGTATTAGTAGGTTGGAAGAATTGCTTTCGCTCTCGATGCAACAGAACAAGAATTTATCCATTTTAAAATAAATCAGTACAAAAAAATAAACTGACAAAAGAATTGATTGCTTGCATTAAAAAAAAAAATAACGCTCCATGCGAAGATCGAACCAAAATTTCTTCGACTCCATTGCACTGGACGGTTAACGCATATTACTGAGCTATCATCGCTACACATACAACTTGGCTTTTAAAACGACAATGAAGCACCGCATTTACATACTGGAATTTTTTGGGAAAAGTTTATTTTTTTGGTCTCTGGGTCTTCTCTACATTTTTTACAAATGATTGATTGTTTCTTTGAATTTGAATGCATACAAATAACGTTTGAAAATCATGGAGAAATGACCCAAGATAGCAAATTTTTAGAAAAACGTGATTAAAAATGTGACATTTTCTACCAAATGAATCATCTAGCCTATTTTTAGCAAATCAAAATACAATTTCGGGAAAATATTTCCCTGCCCTATTTCACAGGAACCCAAATGATCAAAAGAATGCTAAAATTTCGTGTGATAGATCAATAAAATTTTCACTTTTCAAGTGCGCCCAGATTCCTGCCGAATGCCAATCAAAAGCGCCCTAGTTCTTTGTGTGAACAAGTCAACATTCAACCTAACGAAATATTGTATTTCTAAGTAAGGCCATTGTTATGACTATGACATTTTTGAAATGTTGATTTTAAATGTTGATACCCTTGTATCCTCAACTTATATGTCAGCACTCTGCCTCGTTTTCGGAATTGTTAGTACGTAGAACTATTGCATATCGAATCAACTGGGGCACATAGAGTACATATGCAGGTGATGATGGCATACTGCTAAATAGGGGAAATAGACGATATAAAGGTGAAGTCAACACGTTTATGTGTGAATTCAAAAATGACAAGGAAATAGAAATTTTTAGAAAAAATTCAATTTTCCAAAACATTTTTTTTCAAGGATAACATCATATTGTACATACATTCTAATTAAACCTTCCAAAGTTACAATAAAATTGACAAATGCATAAAAAAAGTTTAGAAACTTTTATTTGTAGAACTTCATTTAAAAAAGAAAATATGACCACATTCTAAAAGACTTTCTGATTAATTGATTGATTGGTTGTATATTGTTTAATGTCCCATTCGAGAATTTTTCACTCATATAGAGACGTCACCGTATTTGTATGCCGGTAAAGGGCTTCAAATTTAGACCTATACTTGGCACTCAGGGCCACTGAGCAGTGAAGTTTTTTTTTTATTATTTATTTTAGTTTAGTTTAGTTTAGACTAAACTAAGTATAAACTAAGTATACTGTAATGTTAAATACTTTGTACAGTTTTACAATATTTATATTAAAGCTTCGAACAATAAGGAAATACATATAAATTATATATGATTAGGGGCTCATTATTATATGATTAAATCTTCTTTATCGTACCAACGCCTTCCGTGAGGCGGGACCTACGTTTTTAAGGTCTCATCCGAAAGACCCGTGACTCTCACTTCTAGTGCCGGGCGTTTGGCGAAGGAACAGCCACTTCCTATGTTTACGTCTTAGGTTTGCCGCGGCGCATCGAACGAGAATCGAACCCGGGCCTCCCGATCAAAACCGAGCGCCCTACCATTAGGCTACCGTGACCGGTTCAAAGTCAGTCTGAAATACATACTTAAATAATCAAACAATTTGTAGTGTTTTATCTTTCAGACTTGTTTCAGGAATATAAATGATTAGACCTAAACCTTGATTGGGTTTCTTCTCTTGTATATGTGAAAAAAATGGCTTTAAATTTGCTATTAAGCATTAATTGTCTCAATTCTGCTTTGAAAAGTTTTGATTTGAAAGAACTATGACGTATTAAATTTTCCAAAAATAACTTTTTTGCTTATATAGTCAATTTTTCAAATTAAGACAAGGCAAATGTTTGATAAAACAAAGTTTTCTTATAAACAAAAATACTAGATTTTAAATTGATTCTATTTTATCTCATTTTGTTGCACTCCTGAGATCATGAAACATCTTAAGCTTAAGTCAAAATCTTTATGTTCTATTTAATTTTTGTAAAAGTCAAGCAGAACAAAATTAAAATATTTCTCAATATTGCTTTACAAAAGTGTTGTTATATGCAAATTTAGAGAATAATTCAATAATAAATAAACATTTAACAGATGATTGAAAATTTGACTTAAGTCTAAGTTTGTTTAATGACCCTCGGGCCTGGTATGTTTCTTTTTAATCAACCATTGTTGAAAAAAGTTCAACACGCAATATATTATATCTCATTCTAATTTTGTAAAGCGGTTCGTTCTTGATATTTTTAACATTTACGGAATATGCTTATATATATATATATATATATATATATATATATATATATATATATATATATATATATATATATATATATATATATATATATATATATATATATATATATAATTTGATGGGATATGTCGAATCAACGTGTGAATTAAAAAAAAATGTTGCCATTAAAAATATCATCGATATGTCTAAATGAAGGTCACACCAAGAGACTTTTCTGAAGCTTGGGAAAAAATCACAATATAAGTTGACTCAAGAAATTCTTTATCCACAGAGCCTCCCCCTGAAGATGTGGGTGAGCTTGTAGAGAGAGAAGCGTGTGTAGTGGGGCTGAGAGGATCTTGTTCAAGTAAACTTCCTATCAAGATCAAAAAATGCATGGGCTACAATGTGTATTTCCTGACCCCGCCCACTTCTTGTCATAAAGCCTACTGCTTCCGTGAGTATAATGACGTTTGTAAATCTATTACACTATTAGAGTTAAAAGAAGAGTGAATTGGTATAAGAGATAGAGGGAATGCCGACTCTCACGTAACGCGATCGAACGCATCTCGAAACACTTCTGACTTTTGGAATAGAATTGTACATAAAGTAGTTTCTTGAAAGTTTACATGAGATTAAAAAGTATTACTATAACCAAAAAAATCTGGGTTTTTTTTCAGAATATGCTGAAAAAGGTATGTTCAAATATTTATTTCATCATGTTCAAACCTTAACAATACCCTTTGAAGAAATAGAAGTATGTAATTCTACAATTATCAATTAATCCTACATTCTAACATTCTTACAGCTATGTAGAGGCTTAAAACCTAATTCATTCATTACTTGTGAATTCACGAAGAGGAATTTTTAAGACCTGCACACTTTGAAAATTGAAAATGCGTTGATGCTTAGAATGTGAAAGCAAGGCAAAAGTCTGTACTCTTTAGTTACACTTATTGCTTAAAAATCAAATCCCTCAATATTAGTCCTACTCCAACAAATTTCATCGCCCTAGCTATAGAAAAGTTCAGGAAATTAGAAAAATTTAATTAATTTAAAACAACTGATGTATGCTCTAGTTGCCTTCAAAATCTGTAACATTTTGACTTTGATATCTTTTTAATGGCCACACAATTAGTATATTTCTATCTAATAATTGTATAAATGTCCTCCATTAGAAAAGTAATATCCTTATATTAACTTTAAAAATCGCTTCAAATTCAAGAAAGCAGAGGAAAATTCTGAGAGTGATTTGTATTTTTTATGACAAAACTGGTCAAAACAGATTCTTTATATTTGAATGGTAGATTAACTCTAAACGAAATACAAGACATTGAAAACGTTTCTTTGTACATAGGGACCCCGCCCACCGAGACCGTGTCCCAGCCCGTGGTAGCTTACAAGCTCATTAGACAAATGGACGTTAAACCGTACCAAGAACTTCAATTCTCGTGCGAGTTCCCGCTGAAAAAGGTCGACTACTACTACCAGGTGGTCTGGTACATAGAAGACACACCATCAGTCATAACAGAGCCAGTCAAGAAACACTCTTTACAGAAAACATACCTTGGCTACGGCCATGGAGATGCCACCAAGGGATACAATAAGCTTGGAATTAACGTATATATAAATTCACGCAAAGTATTTAATCATAATGAGTTTTGAGGTATAGTGCTTTTGATAATTTGTTGAAGCATCGTATAGATGTATAGCCAGGTTACAGTTAATTTTTTTTTTTGTCTTTAAGGTGAAGTGTTCTGTGCGTTTAAAAGTTGTCCCGGAAGGTCCCCCTGGTCCCATGTCAAAGCTTAGTGAGAATTTCTTCGCTGGAATTCAGGTGCGATTCGGGATGGTATTTTAATACATCATTACAATATTCTTAAGTACTTAAAATACATGAATTAACTTAACACATTTAAAATGATTTTGTAGTTTAACAGTAAATGCTTATATTTGATATTTGATATTTTGATATGATATTTTGGATGTGTTACATTTCTATACTTGTGCAAAAGATTGTAGTTGAATTTCAATATTATATTACGATTTCTTTCTTTTTTATCAAACATAGGTAAAATCCACAAGGGTGGATATAAATAGAGATAAACCCAAAGGTGAAATTCTCATTCAGTTAACTGTTCCATTCGGATGTCCCCTCATGCTAGATGATAAAGTAGAGAATTGTCCACTGGAAATCGAAATGAACGTTCCTAGGGACCCAATGAAATGTACATCGGAAATCAAAGCAGCAAAACCCTTAGACCTCATAGGACAAGGGAAAAACTGTGGATACAGAATATGGAACACTGAATGGCAGAAAATAGTCTCCATTCCTGTGGCATTTATTGATAAACCAGAATATAAGCTAGTCCTTCCTGACTCACCAGAGGGCGCTTTTCGTATTGGAATGATTACAGGACAGAAAGTGGGAAGTCCCGCTTGGAGTGGTATCGAACTACAGGATGTGTATGTACATGTAAGTCATCAAGGGCTGGTAGATTTAATATATTACTCTTATGAGGTTTTTCATTGAAATCATCATTTTCGGTAGCATTTCCTTTCTACTGTCTTTCCTACTGCCAGATGGAATATCAATGGGTTTCTTTTCCATTCTTACGTAAATATGCTCTATGGATATGTTTTTACATTGTATATTCATTGGAAATTAATTTTATGCTCTCCACATCTAATCAAGCTGAAAATATTTTAAGCTAGTGATTTATTGAATAACAGATACATGAGAGCTCTGATGTTTGGAAAGGTAAAGAATGTGCGGCCTTAAATGATCCCCACATGTACACCTTCGATAGACGCCCGTGAGTGCTCACCAATAACATAGTGAATCATTATATGGAATTTTTTCTTGCTTGTCATATGTTTCATACAGTATAGTGCTATAATTAAAGTCTTTGCTGTACACAGGTACGAAAATCAGTATTCCGGAAGGTTTGTGCTTTATCGTGGAAAAAGTACCGAATTCCCCACAGAGGTAAACTTATATTCCAAGTACATATTTATGAAAATTAGTATGTTCTTGAATTTAAACATATATAAACCCTCATATTAACCCACTAAACTACACAACAATTATTTCATAAACACACAAATTCTTTCTATCGCAAAATAGTGGCACAACGTGTTTCATACATCTTTTTGTCACTGCATTTTCTGATACCTATGGAGAGAGAGAGATTAAAATGACCTGTAAATGAACAATCACGGTGCAATGATAAATCTTTAACAAGCTTTGAAGCTTTCAATAAATATTATATCTTAAAAATAAATTTGCATTCCATTTGTGCTTTAGGTTCAGATAGAGACTACACAATGCAACAGAAATCCTCGCAGTATTCCTTATTGTGTTTGTGCAATAGCAGTGCGAGCCGGAGGTGATGTCTTCGTCATAGACAGATGTCCTAACAGACGTATACAAATAAAATACTTGGCTTGCAAAGACAATCTTATTGATGCTCGTAAAGAGTCAGAGTTAGAATATAAGGTTCCAAACTTTATTTAATATTTCTAAAAATGAAATTATTTTATTCGTTAAGCACCAGCAGAATAGTCCAGGGCATCGTGGTTTAAGGTTTGAAAACCTATATTCATGTCTTTAAGCATTTGTCGATTGTGCTGAACATTTTCATCTTGTAATTATGTTTTCAATTTAGATTTGTCTTTAATATTTAATAATAGGATATATAGAGAGATTGGATGAAAATGCATATGAAATTTCTCATTTTTCAACGTTTTTCAATTCTTTAAAAATATTTTTATAGATATATTTCCCCAGTGGTACTTACGTCAATGCCCTGTTACAAGACTACACAGGCGTAAGAACAATAAATGTCCACATGTATCCCTCCAAAGCAGATAAGGACGAAACATTAGGACTATGTGGAACTTTGAACGGAAATCAAAATGACGATTTTATGGACAAAGATGGAAATTTATTGGTCAGAATAGATTTTATCAACCATTGGAGGTAATTTAATGATTTTTGTTTTGGGTTATGAAAAAGGAGAAGATATCGATTTGTGACTCATAAAGCTGTAAACAGTACGAAGGTGAAAGGGACAAAAGCACATACTCGTGGAAACACCAGAGGTGTGATCACGTGTCTAGAAGAAGTAAGCATCCCCTGTCGACCAGTCACACCCTCTGTGAGCCCTCTGCATTGATCAAGTAAACGATCAATCCGTGGTGAAAATTAGTATTATAACAACGACAATCAGTCATAATATGACCTAAGGATTGGTTGTATTTGTAAATAAAATCATTAAATGTATAACGAAAATAAAATTTGCGAAATGTTGACTTTAAACGAGATCCCAGAAAGCCCCAAAACATCAATTGATTTGTCAGTAGCCTATCTTGGTTTGAAGATGGTACACAGAACATGCTCTTGCATACCGAATCAGGTGGAAGACATAAACACCACATGAGATAATAATGGAATATTATGGTATGTAGAGAAAGTTGACGATGAAAAAGTTGAACCCGTTCAATTAGTCATAGTTTAGTTGTTAGTTTGCTATTACCGTCTATAGTCTGTAAAACATCCATATATGAAAGAGATATGGCAGACTTTGTAATGTCGAGTAATACAACTTGTTTTAATTGATAAATGTCGTTGATATAATAAAATGTCAAATTGAAGGCCACAAAAAAAGTCTTCTTCTATAAATACGTTCTGCTTCATAAGAATATGAAAACAGATATAAATGCTACCTTTATATATATATATATATATATATATATATATATATATATATATATATATATATATATATATATATATATATATATATATATATATATATATATTTACCACTTTTAGTGTAATATCAACTTTAAATTATCCTTACTTTAGTTATCCTTCTCATTGTTATTATTATCGAGTTTTTTGTAGAGTTACCCCTGAGGAGTTTTTGGTCCTTATGAGTGAAGATAAACTGAATGCCCTGTCCCCATGGAAAGGCAGTGTTCTTTATTGTACATGTCCACATAAGCAGGTGACAGGAGATAGACCTGAAGATATTGGACAGTGTTCCGAGGATACAATAGTCCAGTGCGCCAAGGAAGACAACCCAGCTCTCAATAAAAACAAGTGTAGAATACGTTCTAGGCGATCCGCCAGGAGAGTCTTTTCTCACAAAATGTTCGAGATCTCTGAAGATCAATTTTATCACATCGACGAGGTATCTGAGTGTACTTGATTTTTTAAAAACCTTGTTTGTTCAAGTAATAGCATAACACATGTACAATGTATATGAAAATAATAACTTTTCTGCTTTTAAAAATTTAACATTTTGTTGTTCCTTCAATTACAAGGCTGATGTGTATACCAGTAGAATTAAACGAGAAGCAGACATCATATGGTCAAAATCAAAGGCTCAGGAATACTGCAATAACTTCATGAAAAAATCGCAGACTTTTGATGCTTGCAGTAGCGTTCCCAGTGTTAATTCTAACTTCTTAATGGAGAACTGTGTATTGGATATCTTGGTAAGATACCTGTAGATTTATATCAATATATCATTGTCTTCTGTCATTTATTCTTTCAACTTATATATAATGAGCAGAAAATTAATTATTGTATGTGCACATGAAATACCCTATGCTAAAGATCAGAATGCTTTCAGTTGTTATCCGTCCTCAGTTACAAGTGTTCCCTTATTAAAAGTTCAGTGACCTGGATATGTAAGCCTAGTGATTGTTTTACACGGATAAACTGTTTCATATCAAAATGCATTGTCTCCTTGAAACTAAGTATCTCACTGAATTTGAAGCCAGTTATTTTAGGTAAAAGTTGAATTTGATACAAGACTCTTGCTCGAAAAATAATTGTATTCACAAAACTTGTTAAACTTTTGAAACTTGTTGAATTCGACATGTAGCAAGAGTCTTTATTGTTTATGTATACGTGTAGATGGTATTAATTTCAGCTAACTAACTCAACCATTTGGTCTGCGGGAACTCGTGAAGCTTTGCGGACCACTTGCATGAAAGAACTTTCCCAAAATACAACCCTCAAAGAAGACACAAAGGAAGGAAAACCGTCGATTGCACAACAGATTAAAAAGATTGCATGCATGAACGAATGCAGCTGGCATGGCAACTGTCTTAATGGTATATGGACTTACTTTCTATGATATTCTAAAGTCCAAACAAAAATCGAACTTATATTTCATCTAGATACTTCAGAAAACAAGCAATAATAGTTGCTTTGCAAACATTTTGAAAGTGAAAATACCAGCAAGAAAGTTAATTTAGATGAATCTTAACCACATAAATCTTGTTACATTATATTATATACTGCTCTTTAACCCATTTGTTCCTTAAACTTAAATTTGCCAACAAAGAAATTGACGTAGTAAATATTAGTAATATTCTTAATCACAAAAGGGTTCAGCCTTGTATTCCACCATATTTCAAGTTGAACTTTTCACCTTGTATTTATTACAAATATTCAGCGACTATTACTTCCAATCTTTTTAATTACAAAAAACCTGTCGCCCGTGTGGTGCAGTGGTTATGGAGTTTGCTTTACAGTCGCGGCGTAAGGAGTTGATTCTCATGTTGCGGGTTCGAATCCACTGTGTGACGTGAAGACTGGTCCTTCTGATGAGAGCATAAAAACCGAAATCTTGCGCCGCAGTAGGTGCTGGCACGAAAAAGATCTCAATATTCAAAGACCATTACTGCCGAGTAAATTTGCAGTCCTCCTCCGGCAAGTGGTGGCGTCTCAGTATGAGTAAAAATTTCTCTAAGTGACATTAAACAAACAAACAAACAAACAAACAAAAACAAAAGCATCTACATTGCCTAGATATTGAACACCTGAAAAATAATCCTCCTACGTGTTAATGTGTTCTTTTTCACCCTACAACTATAGTCCTTCTGGATACGTCATTATTGGTGACGTGAATATAGTTAATAATGAGGACCTTAAGTCACTTATTTTAAATGGGTTATAAATCAGGGAACCCTGATCTTTCAACTGGCGTCAAAATTTCATAAATATGAATTCTGTCGACGCTTACGCCAGGCGATGGGCGAAACATGAAAAAGAAGACATTGACTCTTTGACAGAATGGATTAAAAGTATCGGATGTTGATAACGGATTCCAGTAAATGTTCTACCAAGCCTCGTTAATTTTTTCACTCCTCACAAAAATATGAACAGCAGTGACAGAGAAACGTCAGGAGCACTGAACAACAATATATTCAAGAAGAGGTGTTAATCAAATGTGGATACTTAAAAACTCCAACTTGAGGAACTTTTAGAAAATTTAAAATTGTAAAAGTTTATCCAAATCAATAGAATCTAAAGGTGCGACTTTTCAACACTATATACAACCATTCCCCACGATAAATTAAAGTCCAGGGTTTTTTAAATCATAGCTGCTTTTTCAATAAAAATGGAACTCGAAAATTTACTTATCTTGTCATTGGTCAAAATTGTTTTGTTAAAAAAAACATTCTGATTGTACACACAAGTACTCCAAAGATGATATATAAAAGGGTCTGAATTTTTGATTGACAATATCTGTGTGGTTTTTGGAGACAAAAGTCTTCGAACAATATGTTGGAATTCTTATGGCTACTAACTGTACCCCGTTTTTAGCAGACCTAGTTCTGTATTCCTATGACGCAGATTTCATTTAAAAACTCCTACATGATAAGAAAAAGTATCTAAAAGTATCTTGTTGTGGCCTTCAATTCGACATTTAGATATATCGACGTCGTTTTATCAATTAACAATGTTCATTTTCATTTCTATGTTGATTCGATATATCCCTTTGAAATCGAATTAAAAGAGACCACAGACATGACAGTCTGACAACTTTGTATCATATCTGGTAATTTTACTAGAGAGAGACATTAAAGGCAAACTAACAACAAAACTTTATGATAAACGTGATGACTTTTCTTTCGTCAACTTCCCTTAATATTTATGTAGCAATAAGTCCATCACTGCATATGGACTTCATGTCTTCCACTTTATTCGATATGAAGTGTATGTTCTACGTACGAACAATTTCAAACTATAGATAAAATATGTTGATGATAAAAGGATATTAACAGTCTCGTTTAAAGTCAACATTTCGCAAATTCTATGGTCGGTACGATAACCTTGTTAGCAAATACAATCCAATGTTAAGTCGAATGTTGACTGACATTTTTAATAGGTTGTTAGGCCATTATTTATACACTGAATAACTACGAATTTTTCCGTTTGCCCGATCATATAGGACAAGTAGCAAACGGCGGGTGTGACCGGTTGATAGGAGATGCTTACTTCTCCATGGCACCTGATCCCATCTCTGATGTTTTTGGAGGTCCGTGTTTGCTCAGCTCTCAATCTGAACTTTTGAGCTGGATTACTGTTCGTTATCTTCACAACCATCAAAAATTATGTAATTTAACAAAAGAATTTATACTTCAGGAAGCTGTAACTGTGAGGAGGGTTATGGGGGTAAGGATTGCTCTATGGACCTAAACAAGCCTCCCATTGTTTACGGAGTGAACATAGAGGAGGGTAGCCTTTGTGACAAGAGAACCTGCCAGAGGGCGCTGGTCGAGGGCTATGGATTTTTGGACCAGAAAACTCTGATGTGTTCACTAAGAGTGTATCAAGTATAACTGGCATATTATTAATTATTATATCAAACCTAAAACAACAATAAAAGCTAAAGCATTTTATCTTTCAAATTATCTATCTATCGATCGATCGATATATTGATTTGTAAAATATCTTTTCTTTGATATTGTAAAACTTGTAATAAATATGGATAAAATGAGCTTAATATTTTATTTAGGTAGCTGAAAACAAATCGGTGGTTGGAGAAATAACTGAACATAAGGTTCCAGGAGAACATGACAGTATAGCAGAAATATTTTGTCCCCTTGATAAGACTAGGGTAAAACGATCTGTCAACCAGGGATTTGTCAAGGGAATAGATATTTCTGTATCTAATAATGGCCAGAATTTTAGCACCACACACACTCTTTTTGTACTGGATGTGATTTGTCAAGACACCGTCAATATCTCAGGAGACATTCAATTTACCCTGAGGGTATGAAAACAATTTCATCATGTTACATTGAAAAGCACATATCCCGGGAAAACTATATCTGTGTTTATGTTCTCAAATATATTTCTTATGCTAGTTTCAGTAAATATTGGTGGTAATTTCATGGTAAAAATACATTGTCATTTAGGTCTTACGACACGTTCCTTGATTTTTTTTCATCTCTTCTTTACAATAAATTTTATAATATTATCAGTATTTTTTCATTTCTAAACTGTCCAGTAACATATATACTTGTATAAACCAAAATTGATATCAGTAATTCATTTTTTGTGAGGAAACTGTGATAATTATATGTTATTGAGGAAGATGTCGTCTGACTTTAATCGAATTTTTGAAAATGTAGATTTCTTTGTACAATATTTATAGAAAGGATATTGTTACATCGGAGGACGATGTATCGTTCACGGAAGTAATGGAACAGAAGAATGTATGAATTGTAATTCAAGTAAAAATACAAATGACTGGAGTAAAAAGGAAGGTAATGCTCTTGTTTCTATGCAAAGTAAATGATTTGTCAAATATCTACACTGAAAAATTTGAAAAGTTACTTGATAAGGTGATATAAAAAGTATTAAAATATTCTAATTTCACAATCACAAAAGTAAAGAAAAGACAGTCATTTATAAATATTATGATACTCTTGTTCAGGTTGTCCCTATACAACAGAGAAGTCTGATCCGGAAGTAGATGATTCCCTGACATTAATTATTGTTCCGGTGGTTGTAGGTGTTCTTCTTGTCGTTACTATCATTATTGCTGTTATTCTGTTTCTAAAGAAGAGAACTATCAGGTAATAATCACTTGGCTTAGTGATATACTTCATTATCTTGCATATTTTTGCTGATGTACTTGAAGTTACAAAAACATGGTTGGTGTGTGTTAAAAAAATGATTTCAACAAATAGTTCTTATGGATTTTGACACGTACATTGATACACTATGCATGCATGCTTAAAAAAACTCAGGAAATTAAGTTTATCATCGTAAAATTTTGAATGATTACACTTGACACCTTCCAACAAATAATAAAAGATGAGTTGCTGAACTACCATGCTTATGGATTATCGGAACTTGTTTTAAATATCATGAATGACTATATTCTTGTTACCGATGGTCACAGAATGTTTTGATTCTATATGCTACAGTTCTCACCAAGCTGTATTTAATTATTTTATTTTCCATTTTCCTCATGTAATCTAAGTTCTAATTCTTAAACATAATCAGAATCGCAATTTCTAGATAAGGTTAAAGAGAAAAAAAATACATTTTCATTACTTTATGTGCGAAGTATTTTTCTCCATCAAAATGTACGCAAAATTATGGAAAATATTCTAAATGAAATGCATGCAATTTTCATTTTTTTTTTTAAACAAAGTATTTTAAAAGGGTACTAAGTCAACTACAGAGGAATATGAAAAATTATATATATATATATATATATATATATATATATATATATATATATATATATATATATATATATATATATATATATATATATATATATCAATTATATATATTATTGTTTGCTTGTTTGTTTTTCATGGTTATATGCAAATATTAATATACTCAAACTTTGAATTTACTGTCTATAGAATTTCTTTTGTTAACAGATCATTCAGTTTTATATATAATAGAGTATGCTTATTTGGCCAGAGTCCTCTCTTGTGGTAGAATAAAACTGTGAAAAATATTTAGTTTGCAGCTGGAAACGGGTTTCCTAAAATTCTTAAAAAATTATAAGGACGCAATCAATCACATGTGTCTGAAATTTGACGACAAATATATTTTTTTTTCATTGTTATATCTTTTGTGTATCTCAATTTTTTCTCATTTAAAAAATAAATATGGTAAGCAGGATTCAGCATTTGTATTATTTTTGAAAAACTTGCAGACAATCAGGAAAAACGAAAGCAGAGGTCAAAGTGTCTTACAGCGAAGTAGCCACCAAAGAAGACTCCTGAGGCCGTGTAGCTGTGTAGAGCTATGTGGTTTCCATGGTTCCCAAAGGAAATTCCACATAGTCAGCCCCGCTGAGTTAAAACGTAATATTATAAACAAATGTCATATGTTTAGTTATTTTGCAGTGTAAAAACTTAGGGATTGTCACATTAAATACGGTAAATATGGAATATATGAAATATGGAATATGAATGTGTATGAAATTTCTGCTTTAAATGTTTTGGACAGTTTATATACTTGTCAAATCTACGAACTTGATGTGTTCTGTACCTTTGGGCTTTCTCATAGTTTTGCTTTTAGTGAAACCGGTGCTGTTCTTTAATCATATTTGAAAACAGTTGGAGAAAATTCGGTAGATAGATACAGTTCCATTCTATTACTTTAGGCACGTAGTAGCGATTTTGAAGGGGGAGTCGGAAAAAAATTGACACCTAATAACCTGAAAGAGATTGAAGTTTGACAAGCAAAAAAAAAAGTAATAGTAAAAGGTTATGTGTGGAAAAGAGTGGGGGGCTACCCCCTCCCCCCCCCCCCCCACTACGTGCCTGTACTTCTCCCTCTGTGTTCACATTTATAGTCGTGTCCTTTATAGCATGATCAATTTAACATTACTCAGTTGTTATAATTAGAGTTATGAGTTTCTTTTAGCAAACTATATTGATAACACATTTTTAGCTTGAATATATCTGCTTTCATTTATATAAATCCGACAAAACATATACATGTAAAAGAGTACCTCCAGTCATTAATTTAAAAGAATTACACAAAATGTCAGCTTATAACAGAGTTCTGATCTGTTTCGCACATTTGTCACTTCCCTAGTGAAACTCTACATACCAATGTCTGTAAGAGTCTTGGATTTTGCTCAATAGCACTTTAATCGTTTTAACATATTATAAAAGCCCATATTCTTCATTTATGTTTCCTCATGCTGCACAAACTCACCGCAGCTCTGTTTTTGCTGAGTTATAATCAATGAAATCAACACCATGTTGAGATGAAATATGTCATTTATTAAAAATGACGAAAATAAGAAATATATATACATAAACATGATAGGGGATCAGACCAAAAGGTATTCACACAATACATGTCAATATGCTGATCCCCTAAATTTACAGATAAACAATATTTGCAAAAAATATAAAAAACAGTAAGTATACAGCAAAAAGATGGCACATCAAAAAGCTCGTTGAAGAACTCATATGTCATGAGTTCGAATTTAAGTCAACTGAAATGACATGAAAATAAGTTAACGGTTATTTAAGGGAACAAAAAATATATTCACTCCAAACATAAGTCAATATCTACAATATCTATGTTTTCTAATGATAGGTATGTTTAAAAAAAGTAATGTAGTCTTTTTCTCTTTTGAGCTTGTATTGTGTTCAGTGTCATGTATTTTTGTATTAACATTGCTATTATTGATTCTTTTTACATACATACATTTTTTATATTGATAGCGAATAATATTGTTGTTATCGATAGCTTACCTAGTTGATGTTCCAACTTTAAGCTTGTATACATTTAAATGCATCTTTTTTATTTGATTCTGTCTCTGTTCATGTTTACATTTTTCATATATAATTTTATACAGTTTGTGAATTTTGTTGCATATTTGAAGCTCTAATTAATTTTTATTTTGACATTTTCGATAAAAATTGATCATATTGAGAGAATGTTATGGTTTTCAATATGCTTATTATTTTGCATAAAGATTTTTACGGATGCAGATTTTCAAAAAAGTAGATTTTCAAAATGATCAAATAAATCTTTAAAATATTTTTCTTTTGTACTCAAACAAAAGCTATGCAATTTTACCAAATGTTATGTACTTTGTGTTGTGCATGAAGTTACATGCACATGGGAATTTTTATGTCGAGTGTTTTGCTTGATATTGAGAAAGTGCTCTCCAGAATGTTTTATTAATTATCATCATCATTATTATTATCTGAGTTTGTTTGATATGATGTGCAACATTAGATTCTTTTGTGTTTTAAACATCAACTGATTAAGTTGACAACTTCCTTAACGATGCTTCAGTTTTTAGTAGAGACAAATGTGTCGCTTGCAATTATATGTCGTCATCAAATGATTTTTATATACAGTAAAGACCTATGAGTGTAAAATGTTGATTTTATAATTCCTCTGTGTTCAATTATTAATAAATGAGATTGTAAGTCGTAGATGTAAGCGGTATTGTCTTTTTTGCAAGACTCGTTATTATAATTCTATTTCGAAGGAAACTTGGATTTAATTCTATATAAGTGGTAATCCAACTTATAATTTCCTTTCTAAGGAGAAAATTCTTCAAAATCATATGTCGATTTTAAATATTTTTAATATTCCTAACAACCAAATTGATACTGAACTACCATACCTGTACTGAATTTCTAAACTACATAAAAATCTTACAAACAAAGATATATAGTTGGTTCTAGGAAATATTCTGCCAAGTTTCCTTATTACTCTCAAAGATATTAACAGCAATGAAGGAGAAACTTCAGGATACTGTACAAAAACATATCGGGGTATTCAGGAAATGATGAAAAAAATGCTTGAGTTTGAGATTTACAATTTTTTTGTGTCAACAATCATCACCGAGTCTGACACATCTGTTTCATATTTGGATATTTTTCAGACATTTTTGAACTGGTGGATTTAGAGGGGGCAGGGGCCCGTCCCCTTCTTCCTGTGGCCTAAAATATATATCAGGAGTGTCGTTTGAAGTCAACATTTCGCAAAATCTATGTTGTCGATACGGTCGATACAATGACCTTGTTAACAAATACAATCTACCGTTAAGACACACTGAATTGTCTACAAATTTTTCTGTTTACCAAATCATGACAAGGGGTATCGGACATTTGCGGAATAGCGGACAATGGACCACAGACTTCAGACTTCGAACTTTAAATAAGGGGAACATCTTAAAGTGTAGAACTTGTTAATCATCTTTTTCTTTCTTCAGTGGTACTTAAAATAATGATTATCGATAGACTGCAAACTTCTGTGACATTTAGGAATAGGAATAAATGCGGAACACTAAGTTAACTTCTAAGATGTTTCAGTCACTGAAGTCACACCGAGAGCCTAAGATTGTATGAAACTACTTAGCTTAGAAAAGCGTTGTATGCCCATCCCCTTACACACACAATGTCAGAATGTGAATTTGTTAAACTTTTTTCTCTCTTATTTGTTTAGTTATTTATTTAATTTTACTTAAATTCCTTAACTTATTTTTTAAAATTTTTATTATATTATTATTTGACTTCTTAAGATTTAAATTATTTGTTTGGCCTGTGTATTTTACCCCCCCCCTCCCCCCCCCCCCCAAAAAAAAATGGAAAAATAGGAGACGGTGCTATGTGCCCTTATGTATATCGAATTTGAACCATTTGACTTTGCAGGGAAAATGGATGCAGATTCCTGATCTCTTTAGATTTTCTATAAATATAGTGAATTTTTTACAGTGATTTCGATATCAGACGTGATCCGCTTTTTATATACAGGCAGAGTATCCGATCCTAACTTACTATCTTAAAAAAATATTAATTTCAATTAAAATGTTTATTAAAAAGCCGTTGCTTCCCTCCCCCTTCATCGTTTTTATACAGTACATGTAAAGTGAAATCCTCCAATGCAAATACATGGGGTTTTTTGTTCCCCCCCCCCCCGGCCGGGGGATGGGATTTTCGATTTTAGACTCTTCTCATTTTTTGGTTGTGAAAGATTTTCAGGTAAGTTATCACCCCCCCTCCCCCCCCCCCCCCCCCACACACACACTAGAACTCGAGCCAATTCTTTTTTGTGTGTGAAAGATTTTTTCAGGTAAGTTGCCACACCCTCCCCTCCCCCACCCCCAAACGTACACACCAACTCGAGTCCAGCCAGTTCTCCTTTTTCTTTGTTGTCAAAGATTTTTTAGGTGAGTTGCCTCCCCCCCCCCCCCTTTCAACATCGATGCCACGTGCCTATCCATTACATGTACGGATTTTATTTAAAGAATAAAGAAGATTTTGGTATCTACAACATTATTAATTTCTATTAAGTAATAAAATAGGGCATATTTTTGATTCCGAGATAAAGCTTATATCTATTTTCATTAAATTTAGTTTCGAAATTATCCATCGTGTTTAAAATAGGACATTTTAGTATCCGTGCTTCTACAGTGAGTATTAAGAAATGCACTCCACGCAGTTCATAATCTAATGTAAAATGGTCAAGCAAAGAAGAATAGAGAGGCAACCAATCTATAATTTTTTAACCAATATTGACTGTTTTTTCCTCGCCATCAAATTATCAACAAACCATGCAGGAAATGCAAAAAAATAGGTTCTCTCATCATCGGAAGTTGTGCGTTCAATTTGTAACTTAAAAACGTACAGAATGTGAAATTGAACCTCTGTACCAATCTTTGCTGGGATTGTTGCAGGACTTGTATACATATAAACTTTCTGCAAACGTTCTAATCAAACCAATTAAAATAAAAATTTCAACACGATCCTTTGATTAAAATTTATTAATAGTTATCAGAGCCCTTCACATTTTCAGATGATGTTATTATTTGAACTTTTCCATTTTTTTATACTGGTCCCTTTGAAAAGTCTGCTTTTAAAGTCTGAAGTCCGAAGTCCACTGTGCGGTGTACGCTATTTCGCAAATGTCCATCAGGTGGGTTTGGCCGGTCGCCAGTGGATACTTACTCCTCCATGGCACTTGATCCTACCTCTGATGATATTAGAGGTCCATGTTTGCTCTGCTCACATTTTGTACTGATTCAATAAACTTTGAGCTTGATTATTGTTCGTTATCTTCATATTAAATTAAGCGTATATCTTTTAATATACAAGTGATAATCAGTAACTCATTCTTAATTTGAAATTAATTTTGCCGAAATAATGCTTCCATTATGCTATGTTGCAAGATTAGATGTACTTTTATAAAAGTACAAGTTTGTTTTTACATTCCCCTTACTCTGTCTGAAAAGGCAAAAGTTCATTGGATTCCTCATCTCCTCTATCCAATTTGGTCTGGCACTCTTAAACGCTTTATATGTCTTAATTATATCGGATTGTGCTAAACGCTAAAATAGCAAATCTAAAATGCGTAAAATTAACATTTTTTTTTACAATTCCCACTGCGTTTTCTGCATTAATGTAGTACAGAAACATTTTCAAATGAAAACAGGTGAATATAACGAAATGTGATCAATCTCATAAATCCTGAACACAAACTTAAAGGGTCAAAATCATGGAGCTCCGAAAAACATCAGAGGTGAGATCAGGTGCCTGGGAGGAGTAAACATCCCCTCTCGATTTGTCACGTCCTCCATAAGCCATATCTGTATTGATCTGGTAAACGGAGTAATCCGTACTCAAAGTTAAAATAAAAAACAATGGCTTTACAATTGGTATGAAACATATCAGTCAAAATATGACTAGAAGGAAGTTGTGATTGCAAACAAGATCATTATAAAGACCAAAAAATTTGTGAATGTCGATTTTAAACAAAATTTTAGAAAGCCCATTAATATCACCTTTTTCAGTATCCTGCCTCGGTTTTAAAATTGAGTGTACTCAAAATATGCCCTTGCGTACCGACTCTGTTGGCAGACATATACATCACATTGAGATGGAAGTTGAATATTACTATATTAAAAGGGGAAGATGAGGCTACTGACAGATAAATTGATGATACAACGGTATAAACAATCTCGTTCAAAGTTCAACATTTTGCAAATTATACGGTCGATACAATGAAAATATGTGCAAATACAATCTGGCATTATTTCGAATGTTGACTGACGTTTCCCTGCGGATTTCTCCATTTACCCATTCATAACAAGGGACACACGGTGGATCGACAGGGGATGCCTACTCCTCCATCGCACCCGACCTCTGATTTTATTTAGAGGTCTGTGTTTTCTCTGCTCACAATTTGCATTGTTTCATTGGACTTTGAGCATGATAACTATTCGTAATCTTTACATTTCATCATAAATGAAAATAACTGTTATCAATTGATAGAAAATCGTATATATCTAAATATCGAAATTAAGGTCACTGCAAGAATTTTCTTCTTAGGTCTCATGAAGATTTTTAATAAATTCTGTTTCAGAAAATAAAATCAGGTCAGCTAATAAAGGAGCAAATTATTGCCCATTTAAATACCAATAGATAGTGGGAAGTCCTGGTCTCCAAAGACTATATACATATTGTCATATCAATGAGGAACTCCAGCATTTTTTATTATCAACTTCAGAGCAGTGTGTAGAATCAGTGGGATTTTTAACAAAATAATTTTGTTGATTACTAATCCACAATATGACAATTTCCAAGTTCCATGTTTATTGAAGAAGCAGTTGTCTATGACGTCAAAAAGCTGACTGTTAAAATACAGAATCTTTGCGTTATGACAGGAGCCATCCATGAGATCATAAGTTTAAAAATCCAATCTATGAAGCTCTGTACGCTATCTACATTCGGGGGTCGAAGAAATTATTATACATGTAGCTAGAAT